TTGGCTTTCTCCTTCATCTAAAGCCTGATCTCACCCTGAGACTTCTGTGTCCCACGTAACAGAGCCCTTCCTTTGAGGAATAGACTGCATTTTGCAACTCTTTAGATTTACACAGATACACAAGCAATTTTTGAGACAGGTGGAGGAACAACTGACCAGAGACATTCAAACTGGACCGTCCTTTCAGTATTCTCAACACAGCTCAGAAAGCTGTCTGAAGTTTTACTTTCAGAAAATTACGAGGGCTCAGCATTTGTGCACCAGCAATAACCAGGCATTTATAGCAGACACAGGTATTTATGGTGATTTATAGGCAATTAAAAATGTCAGCTTCCTGGTGAAGGAAATCTGTTGAAAGACCTTCTAGCAGACGGTATCTGCAGAGTGCCAAATGAAACTCTTATGTGTTGCAGTTGGATCCAAGCAGCAGGTTTTAAGCCTATTTTAGGCACAGCAAAGAACACTGAACCAAGATGAAATATGGCACTTATGTCCTACAGTCTGACACAGGAGAGGATAAAAAATAGTTTCACACAGGTCCACTGCTCCCTGTTCCCCACCTGCAACATAATGAATGCAAAAGCAACAGCAAAGTGGGGGACAGGACAACACATGCTTCTCCTCAGGTTTTTCACAAATCACTGTGACCTTGAGTATCCAAAGCTGTCAAGGGCCCAGGGCTGAGTATCAGAGAAAATGTGCCTCTCAGAAAGGAGTAAATCGGTATACAGACCCTCTGAGAAAACAAAGCAGTATTTCTTTCCTGTTACTAGAATTTAACAAGCCCCACCTCAAATGGGAAGAGCCCCACTGGTGGCTAACTGTACAATTTGGAGAAATGGTTTCCCTTCAAACACCTAAAACACATGTCCAACAATCACTCATGTGCAGCAGCTTCACTGTATCACAGGCCCCACTTTCGTCCCCATAACCAGATCACTTCATACACCCAGGCCTCTCTGGGACTGACAACACACAGGTACACAAAGCAGGAAGGGATTGATTTTATAAGAGAATGTTTCCAGCACATGGTCAGAAATAGGTATTTCTGAATTGGGCTGGAGAAATGCCCCCAACCTAGCATACAATCCACAGAAAACCTCCGACTACTCTGTTTCATCTGAGACACTTACACAGATATAAATAGCATGAGAGAGGAAGTTTCCACAAAAGCAACACAAAATTATTAATAAGAGATCAATTTACAAACAGAAGGCTCATATAAAAGTAGTAACTGGAAATCTCAAGAACAGTTAATACTTTCCCTCTGTTTATCGTTCAGCAGCTTACAGAAAGCTTAGAAGAAACTTAAATCTTTTGTGTATTTAAACACAGTTTATGTATGCTGTATACAACTGACACAAAAGTGACACATGCATCTATAAAGGCAGATTTCACAATAGCAAATTCATCTTAGAGGAACAATACACTTGAGATGCGATGCTGGGCTTCTGTGTTATTTCCACATTCAGAAGATAGACTGAATTACTGTACCTCAGTGTAAGATGCTAAAGACAAGGAACACTGTAGCAAGTCTCTACAAAAGAGAAAGCAAGACAGTGAAAGAAGGTAGCTGGCAGCGACGGTACCTGATTTATTAGTCTAAGTGAAGATATTATTAAAGGTTAACAGCAGACAGAATCCCTCCACAGAATATTCCCTCTTGTTACATACACCTTGGAGTGAAAGGAAGAAAAATAATGCTGAGGTTCAACACAAAACCTCAGCTCTTCCACTGCTAAAAGCCATCCATTACCAGTTCAAAACCTCCCTGCTCAGCCAGAATCTGGCTGCCTTGGCCCCCTTTTCACCCATAACCCACAAGCACAACCATCATTCAACAGCTGTATGCAGTTTTCCAAGGTGCACAACACCCAGAGATAGAACAGTGTTGGCTCAAAGGAATTTCAGAGGATGTTAGATTACTTCAGAGTGTTTTGGGGGCATGCTGTTGAAGCATACTTTTTGTTGCAGAAATGCAGGGGGAAATAAACGACCAGAATAATGCCCTTTCTCAAGGAAAGGAGAAACACAAATGATAAACCCACTGGGGAAATCACTGTCATGATACACTCTATCTGAAAAGTTCACTTGAATTCTCTATGTGCAGTGATGAAAAATGACATTTAATCGAGGCCAGGTTGGATGGAGCTTTGAGCAACCTGGTCTAGTGAAAGGTGTTCCTGCCCATGGGAGGGGGGTTGGAACCTTTAAGGTCCCTTCCAACCCAAATCACTCTGTGATTCTATGAATCTCCTCACTACACCAAGTTTCTCATTCCTATACATCCTGCATTATTTTTTCTTAGCAAACTATATGTTACTACTTATAATTCAAACACATTGCTTCATACTGATTACCTTTCTACAGTAGTTCACACTTTTCCGCTTATTCTTAGCACTGGAGAAAACAAACTCCTACAAATTCAGTTTTAGCTCTGATTGGAGTTTTGGCTGTGTGAACAAGTCATCGTAGGCTTCTGTGTGTCCTCAGACATACACCAGGTAGCTTGTTGCTCCTATCCTGCTCTCAGCCCAGAGTCAGTGCCTGCACACCCAGCTACCACCGCTGCACTCAGTAAGGATGGGTTGACTTTACAGAGTGCTGGACCACAACAGACAAGCCTGCTCTTTGGCAGCACGCTCCTGGAGCACTGGTGTTGTATGACCCCACTGTACAAAGCTTTGGGGAGCTAAACCAGCAAAATAAAAACATCAATGCAACTGCTTTTTCTCCATTAAAAGAAAACTCTAAAGCCCACAGAAGTGGCTCACTGAGGAATCAAGGCCAGCTTAACAGAAGTGGTAGAAACATGCACCCTTGAAGTAAGGAAAAGAACCATGGCAGCTACAGCACAGGCTGTGCTATAATGTGGAGTAACAGCCGAGGCCCACTCACTGGCTTATCTAACAGTTACATCTGCAATACTACAATGGAAAGAAAACCAACAAAGAGAGAACTCTGGAAAAGTTTCACAAATGCTAACCAGTCCAGTACTGTCAGCTGAAACTTGCTGGAAGTTCAGAGGAAAATTCCTGGCTTTCAAAACTCCTTAACCTGTTGTGTGCTCATTTGGACAAGCAGCCAGGTTGTCAGCAGCCCCTCACCTATCCTGACCGTGTGGAGCGCTGCAGTGAGTCTCCTCCATCACACATATGAGATGATGGGGAGAGCTGGAATCTTGGGGCAGCTCTGCAGGAGGTACTCAGGGAGGCTGAAGGTCCTCACTGCAGGCTGAACACGAGGACTGTTCTCTCAGTGCATGACATTTTTTGCACGTCTTGAAAACAGGCTGCTATTAATTTCTTTCTCTTCTGTAAGATGGTGTCCCAAAACTTCTGAAGCACCTTTCATATCTGGGGAATCATTGTGCTTACCTACTTTACTGATGAGGACAGTGAGGGACAGCAAGGAAAAACAGTACACCCAAGGTCACTCAGGAGTAAGATGACTGGGATTCACAGTTCAGTATTTGATTTTCTAGACAGGACAGCCTTACAAGCATGTGGTTGGTTATCCAGCAGCCTCTTTTAACAAGCTAATACATATTTTGGGTAATTCCCCTTTTACCTTACAACAGTAGCAGATATTTCAAAATAATTAAACCAAATATATAGATAACAAGAATCTCTGCATCCTGTATAAGATTAGCTGAGTTAGAGACGGGACAGAATGAAGATGTTAGTAGAACTCCTCACATAGGATTGTTTGGTCTGTTAACAAATGGCTTTGTCATCATCAACTAGTATCTGTATGTGCTGAAGATGCATTTATGATGAGGTTTACATCAGACATGTCAAAACAGGTAGTAAAACACAATGTGAATCCCACAAACCAGCCATAAGCACCACACAGGAACTAGACATACAGAACCGTAAGAACACTTTTGAGTTGCAGGTGATCTAGTTAGCACTGACTACCAGCATCTGGCATCAGAGACTTCAGGGGAAAGTACCAGAAACCGTGCTGTGGGTGTGTTACGTGCACGTGGGAAGTCTTCTCCCAGCCCCATTCAAACTATAACTATCAGCTTACACCCTGACTCAGAAAAACCCCATCCAACTAGTAAGTCAATTTTATCCTTAGCTTATGTGACTGAATGATTTTAAGTTTATCTACAGTCAAGATTTTACCCTGAACTGTAATTCTGACAGAGAAGTTCTCTGTTAATCTCCAAATTAAAACACGCATACCTCACCAATGTTGACAGACGTTACACATCCAAGTTCAAAGCACAAGGCCATGCATTTTACTGTGCATTTTAATGTTGTTAAAAAAACAAACTAAAAACCCACTCAACAGCCGTCAGACAGTACTTTCTATTTAAGTTAAGGACCAAACTACATTACCACTGTGGTAATAAGTGAGAGTAGCTGAGGCCTACAGAGTATGTTTAACAGGAGTTGATGGCTGTGTGACAACTGGCCTAACCTGAGTTTCCCTGTTCAGTACCCTTAAAGCAACATATCTAAAGGCATTAAAAAAAAGGAAGAGCAGCGAGTAATTTTCCCAGAAGCTCGTATTTAAAGGAAAAGGAGATTCCGTTTTCAAAGCAACAAGTTTATCAAAGCCAAGCAACTCCAGAGCTGATGCAGACACAGAAACGCACACGCTGGAATTTGATGAGCCCATCTCATTTTGTCCCACTAAGCCCTTATTTTTAATGGGCACACACACCCCCACCACCCAAACCTTCAGGCCGAGGACAAGCCGCGCACCCCTCACTACCGCCCCGTCCGCTCGGCAGCAGCCAAGTCCCGCATTGCCCCAGCCCCGAGGGGTAACCGCCCCACCCGTGGCCGCCGGCCCGGCACTCCCCGGGCTCCAACTCGTCCCCCACCGTGCGGAGGAACTTTCTGTAGGCACAAACGGCGGACCCAAGGCTGGCAGGGCGGTAATGCCGGGCACGCCGGGCCGCAGATCGAAACCCGGCCCGCAGCGTGAGGAGGACAGGCAGGCACCCCCACGGGTGAGCTGGGAGGGGAGCCTAGTGGCCTCACCTGAGAGCAGAAGTAGGAGCCCTGGATGCCCAGCTTGAGGCAGGTAGGGCACTGCAGCTTGGCCTCGCTGCTGCAGCCAGCCGTCTCGCAAACACGGGTCTCCACCGCCGCCATGCTGCCGGGCTGCCACAGGCGCGGCGCGGCGAGCGGCGGGGGAGGAGCCGCCGCCCGGAGGTGCCGCCGGCTGGGGCGGGCGGGCGGCAAGAGGAGAGGAGAAAAGAGAAGAGAAGGGGAGGAGCGGCCTATAGGCCGCTCAGCGCCGCTCCTCCCCTCCTCTGCCCTCCTCTCCCCGCCCGCCTGCCCTCCGCGCAGCCGCCGGGCGCACAGGTAGCCTTCAGTGAGGGCAAGTTTCCCGTACAGAGGGCCGGGCGAGATGTTGCCGGTACGGTGACGGGATAACCCGGCCGGCATGTGACGGAGGTGAGAGGAGACGCTATACCCCTGATTCCCCGCTTCAAGTCATGCTGCACGGTGTTGTTCAGTTGCGTTATAAAAGATGCCTGAGGGCTTGTTCTTCCTTTGTGTTGCCATTGTGCAGCGAGATCCTAATATGCACGTGTGGTTTGCAGGAGGTTTTGTTTGAAAGGTGCACTGGATTTAGCCTCATGGCTTTCTGTCGGCGATGAAGGGGGAAGGTCAGTGGCTTCAGTTCTCATCTTTGTCATTAGTGGGGCCTTATCTCAGATTTTTCAAGCATGCTTTCTTTATTACAGAGTTCAGTGTTGGTTTATATTGTAGTCTGTCACATAATCACAGACTAGTTTGGGTTGGAAGGGGCCTTAAAGCTCATCCAGCTCCAGCCCCCTGCCACGGACAAGCACACCTTCCACTAGAGCAGCTTGCTCCATGCCCCTGTGTCCAGCCTGGCCTTGAACACTTCCTGGGATGGGGCAGCCACAGCTTCTCTGGGCACCCTCTCGAGTGCCTCTATTGTAAGAATTCTTCTGTAGGTCTGCCTGTGTAGTTCATAATAATTCTTTTCCTCTATTTTTAACTCTCATTTGGAGGGAGAAGAAACAAAAACCATAACAAGTTCAAAATTCAGTAAAGCAGTAACTAAAACTAGAAAAAGAGGCTGCAGAATCATGGTGGCATTGTCACAGGAAGGAAGCTGATTTTCTTCCTGAAAAAGTTAGATAGTGGTGATGTGTCATAAAAATGAGTGATTAAATCATACATTATATTTCTCCCATTTACATGGGTTCGTCTCAAAAAAGATACTGCCTCTGCATATAAAGCTAACTGTGCTTATGTCCTCTGAGTAGCAATATCAAAGCTATTGTCAATATATACTAGAACATCTCTAACAATATCACTGCAAGACATTTTTTGCTGGTTTGTAAGTCAAGAGGAAGTTGATTTTAAAAAGAACATGGTGAGGTGCCTACTGAGTAGGAGAATAGCTGCAAAAGACTCCAGAGCACATATTTGCTAGATCCAGCCATTGGTGCTGGGATCCCACTCCTTGCTTAAATCTCAGTTGTCTTCCCACTGGCTGGCAGGCACAGCCTGTGATTTCAGTCAAAACTTTGCAGGATCAGATTCTCTCTTCTTGCTCAATGTCACTGACTTCAATAAAACTATGCCAATCTTAGTACGCAAAATATCCTCCTCATTTCCTGGCATCCAGCTAACTCCCCAGAAAGCGTCATTCAAATCCAAGCTATAATCTCAGTATTTTCTGCAGTTATGTTTTATTCCCTGTGGTCTTCTGGCCCTATCTTCAATAGAAAAAAATATATTGCTTAGGCTTAGAGGTTAACTGAAAATTTCCACTTCCTAACTTCAGAACACAAAAGCATTGCATCCTATTCTTTTCTCAGAACAGTGTATTCATATAAACATACCTTCTATGTTATGGTAGTGCAATTGGTAAAAAGTGGTTAAGTAGCCCAACTTTTTCCTGTTTTGTTGTGTGATAAACACTTTCACCAGGATGGTAGAACAACCAAAGGTATTTGATGCCATGCTGTTACTGAAGTGTAATTGCAGGTGGACACCTGTCTTTCTGACAGCTCTCATCTTCGTTTCTCTAGTAGTGATAATACTTGCATCCACCTATTGTTTGTAGAAAGAGAATACTGTGAGAGTGAATTAGGAAATGTTTCTCAGATGATTGTAAAATACAAAGATTCCAACTATTAGTTCCTTCAGCAAGTGAAAATAGCTATGTATTGATTCATGCAATTCATGCTGTGACACCATTCAGGGCCATATTTGTCCTACCTAACAACCAATAGCCAACCAACATCATGAAATGTCTTTAAAGGATGCATTCACAGACTCTGATTTTACATATCCCAAATTAAAGTCATTATTAAAGGCTTGGTTTAACCTTCTTAAAGCAAAATGTTACTGAATGGGGAAAATCACTCTTAAATGATCCACGTTGCTAGCAGGTCTTGTACTTTTTCAAGCCCATGAAAAGTTAGCACTTCTTTTCCAAGTAACCAACAAATCAAGCTATCAAGCAATGTAGGACAGGTACCTTCATGCACTTCAGTTGCCACTGTGTGCCATTTAAGGAACCCTTTGGAGTTGTAGATATCATTTACCTGGTTAAGCAGGGTTTACAAGTACTTGGGGTCACGGATGTAGTATAAAAACCTGAAGCATACTGGTTGATCTAGTCCAGTGTCTTCTGTTCAGATGTCATCTTCTTGATGAGATTTCAGTATAATTGCCATTAATAGTTTAAGATACTTTATTAAATTTTATAAGTATTTCGTTCACATTTAATTTAATGTGTGAGTATAACTTTACAATTTATTCCTATTTGTGTCCTTCACAACAGCAGTATATGTTTGTGCTCATTCTGTAGTGGCTGACAAAGATCCAGGTTAGAAAAAAAAGAGGACTCCCATTCTAAGTAGTAGACAGGGATCCTTCTGTTACTCAGTTTCATTTTTTGCTGCATTTCTGAAATGCAAATAAAAACGTGCTGTTTCCTTGCTTCCTTGGAGAAGCCGAGGGTGCATATATTCACAATTTAAAAATATACGTGATTTAAAGAACAGTGAGCCGCCTCATAGAGGAGTTAGCAAATTTGCTAACTCCTTCTCCTCAGCGTTTGGAAAGAACACAGACTGCACTTGCAGATCAACCTAGAGTAACAAACTGAAAGATTTGACCTGAGATTGTGGTGGTTGTTGTCATTACAAGAACAGTAAACTCCATCTTTTTACTTTTATATTATCATTCTCATAGTAAGGATTATGTAGATTCTGTTGTACTTCAGTGCTTTTGTTTTCCAGTTTGGCCTTGAATTTCTGATTTGGTAAGTGAACCCATTCAGGCCTCGTGGAGGTCCAGCCACTGCCATTTCCCATTCTCTGGTGGCACACTCATTCTCACCAGGGAAGTTCATTGACCTTTGCTGTGACCTTCCCCGAGGAGAGCTCTTTTTCCTCTGTCAGGCTTTTCATGTCACTTTCTAGCTGCCCGTCCCCCTGTGCCACAGACAAACACACACAGAGAAGCATGAGGCAGAAATTTTATAGCCCATTCATGATCCTTGATTTATGCCCCTGCTGTATTCCTGCTGTCCTCCCATCTACTCCAAAGTGATGCAAGGCTGGGAATGCATGAGGTTAGCAAACAAGGGCAGAAGGAGAGGTCAGCAATGTGTCATGGGTCAGATAGCTGCTGCAAAAAAAGCTAGAGCAGCTGGCAGCTCAGGCAGCTGCTGGTTAGGAATAAAATGGCCACCGACTTTGACATTACTTAATTGAGTGCCTTAGCTCATGTTCCCCCTCCTCACTTTGCTTCCATACATTGTGGTAGAGGGGGTTGGGCAATCGCACTTTCCTGGTGAAGCTCTTGGGTATAGTAGCTGTCCTCTGTTCAGGCTCATTGAAGACACAATTAAATGCCTCTTTGTTTAGTGCTAGCTGAAACAATGCAAAAATACCACCCAGGAGCCAGACCACATGCAAATGTGTGCTAGTGTGGCTCAGCCAGATGGTACAGGCACTTACTGAGATTCTTGTACCAAATGCAACAGTTAACGTAGGTGGTGTGTGTCTGTATGTGCGTGTAAAAAATGCACAACTGCAAAACCATCGCAAATGCACACAAAGGCAAATGTCTCAGAGATGACCACAAAAGGAAATGTAGCATGATTGAGTGCAAAACAGCCCTTGAAGGAAACAGTACCCAGAAGAAAAGACAAATGGTGTGGTCAAAGTAAAATAGTCTTATTATAGCCAGAGAAAATAAAAAAAAAAAGACTGCATAAACATCCTTTGTAAATGAAGAGTTGCATTAAGGAAATATCTGTCTCCATGTTAGCTCTTTAAAGAAAAATGATATGGGCTTTCAAAGTCAGTCTAATTCTGTAAGTCAAAAGAGGCAGCAATCTGTTGTAAGCCCCTGCATCACTTTTATTCCTTCCAGTGGTGGAACTAAATGAAAACTACTTAAAGGCCCACTGCAGCCACAGTTCAGACTGGAACAGGCTTATTCAAAGCTAATTCCAAGCGTGCTTTCTCTAGTTGTGATGAAAAGGAAGGTCCTGCATATTCTTTTGTTTTGCTTGTCCAAGCCGTGCTGGCACATGGGTATTGATAGAGCAAATCAAAACTGTGCTTTAAGAATGGTTCCCTCTGAATTCAAGAACATTCTTCCTTCACCCAAGAATCTTAACATTTTCCAGTATATGAATATAAAACTGGTTGTTTCTCATGGGACAAGAGCAAAGAAAAACAAGCTGCATCTTTTTAAACAAAATGGTGATTTATAAAAAGCATTCCTATTTAACCAGTAAGTTACAAGCTTTAAAGAGAAAAACTCCACTGCTTGTAATATCTGAAAGAATCTATGAATGTGTCTTGAGGTGATAAAAATTTTTGTTCATTACTATGGAAACACAATAAAAGTCATGTAGTAAAGTTCTGGGTAAATGAATTCCATGGGAAAACTTCTGATACCAACAGGGATTTCACCCAGTTTTTGTCAGCAAAGTAAAGGCTGTAGGAAAATAAACTTACTAATAGGTTTGCATTTTTTGTTTTGGGGTTTGTTTTTTTTTTTCACTTTAGGTATCATGGGCAATGCTATGAGACATTAAAAATTGTTTCTACTTCAAGGTTTCAAAATCAAACTAAATTTATCAGATTTTTCCTCACGTAAAACACTGTGATTCTAGAAATGCTGTATCATGGATGAGAGTGATGTGCTCCATTTCCACTCAAATCAGTGGGATACA